TACCCTTTCTAGACTGTCCCATTACGGTGCTGGGGTAGCTTTGTCATTCGCCCCAGGTCCATCTCCGTCTGACATTGGGACCTCCTTTTTGGGGTGTTAGGCACTACAAAAACCAGAGCCTGAGTCAAATAATTATGACAGATGCCCAGGAATAGATATATTTCAGGATCAATCAACTCCTTAATGTTAGGAGCATAGCATCAAGGTCTTTCTGTGTTTAAGCAAAGAACATTGCTCTATAGTAAAATATGAAAAGGGAAAATAGAAAAGCAAGTAATTCACTACAAATACAAAACCCAGAATTACCAGAAAGTTTGGCTTAGAAGTAACCAAGACTGACTTGGGGAACAGTGACTATTAGGTGTAAAACACGTAGGAAAGGTTAAAGATAAACTCAGGAGATTAGGGATGCTCACAAGAGCACTGTAAGCTTTTCTGGCAGGAGGAAAAGGGGCAATCCACTGATGAAGCCTAAAAAACTTAGGGTTAATATCCAACAAAAGGTAAAGGTAAAGGTAAAGGCCCTCCCGTTGATCGTCGATTTGCTCGAGCGGGCCCAGTAACGTCTCCATTGGAGACTTTGTTGTTACTGTGTCTGGCATATCGAATACTCTCGGTAGCTTGCCGGGCTCTCCGAGAGGGGCGGAGGAATCGAACTCGGGTCGGCCATGTTGGCCGCGTGTAAGGCTAACGCCCTACCGCTGTGCTATCACTCCAACAAAACCCCACCAAATTTGGTGTGCTACTCTTGAAATATTAGTGGTGTGAGGTATGACTTATTGTGAAGCCACCTTCATGGCTGAGTGGTCCAGGAGAAAGTTCACTGTGGTTGAAGCTCGGCCCGAGCATGTGAAAAGCGGCCGTGAGCATGGGAGAGGTTGAGTTTTGGAGGTTTTCAGCTATGAGGTCTGGGTCCCTTGTAGTGGAGAGGGGCCTCACTGCCCCCCCTCTGGGATACCGCAAATGAGACAATCTGGTGCTGGGTCCTGCATTATGGCCATGGCAGTGTCATTTTATGATAGCTTCCAAGAGAGGACAATGAGTCTCTTGATCATGGCCATCTTTCCTTCCTTCCTTCCTTCCTTCCTTCCTTCCTTCCTTCCTCCCTCCCTCTCTCCCTCCCTCCCTCCTTCCTTCCTTTCTTTTCTTTTTTAATGTGTTTTTTCTTTGTCACACTTGACAATGCTCAGGGTATATTCCCTTCTCATTATTTCTGTGCATAGAATAATTATTTACAATGATGAGTTTGTAAACATTTATGACTCATGCATTCTTTTTCCTGTGTCTAGGGTGTTATAGTATAGTGTATTATTTGCATTTACTTTTCCTCTTTGGTTGTACTTTTTCTATACCTGATTTGTTATATTTTGAATTATGTCAGTAGTTCATTGGAGCAAGTTTCATACTAGTTATATTATTAGCACAGTCAGTCTGAGAGAGTTTATCAAATGAATTATATTTCCTGTAACCATTAACAAAATAATTAAATTGAAAACATTTCAATACAATAATAGAAAAATGAATGTACTCCATTCTCCCTTAAGCCTTTTATCAGGTCTTCTCTCTTTCTAAACTGATTTTCATGTCCTACACACCCGGCTTCTTCTCCCCCCCTCCATTTTATTTTGGCAGCATGACTTAAAATAATGTTAATAATAGTGTTTCACACATACAGTTTTCCAACCCTGCACCGTCCACCAGCGTTAGTGTCCCTTTACCAATGTTCCTGTTCCCCTTCCCTCCTGAGTTTGGCAGACTCAGTTTTTGATGTTTTTAATTCCTTTACTATGTTTTTTTTTATACATATGTGAGGGAGATTGTTGTGCATTTGTCCCTCTGATGGACTTCACTCAACATGACAACTCTATTTCATCCATGTAGAGGTACATATATCCTCTATATATGTATGTATATATTTCTTTATCCACCTCATCTGGTCTTGGATACTTGGGTTGCTTTCAAATCTCGACTACTGTGAATAGAGCTTCAATAACACAGGAGTGCAAATGACTTTTTCAAATACTGTTTTGCTGTTCTTTAGATAGATTCTAAGAAATGAGATTTCTGGGCCATATAAAAACTTAATTACTAATTTTTTTCTTGAGATATCTCCACACCGTTTTTCATAGAGGCTGAAATAGAGCACATATCCACCAAAGTGAATGAGGGTTAGTTTTGCCCCACATCCCTGCCAGTACTGATTCTTTCCATTTTTGTAGTGAGTGTTTGGGCCATACTTTGTTGTTCTAAGGACTTACTACTTGCTCTGTGCTTAGAAATTGCTACTGCTAGTACTCAGTACTATGTGGGGTGCCAGAGATCTAACCCAGGTCAATCACATGTAAGCCTTACCCACTGAACTATCTCTCTGGGTACTCTATCTCTGTTTCTATATTTTTTGGTGTGTGACAACCTCACTAGTGGGGATGATATATCATTGTTTTGAGCTTTATTTATCTCATTGTTTTTCTCTGATGATTAAAGATAAAGACCATTGTATCATATACCTCATTCTCTAACTTCTTTCTGCGCCCTGTTTTTAGACAAACAAGTGCTCATGGTAATATATGAGATTGGCTTTTTACGGTTTGTGTCATAGATTAAAGATCAGCTTCTGAACAGTTAGTCATGAGAAACGAATGTAGGAAAGGTAGTACACCTACAGTGTGAAACATGATGCATCAGAAGAACCTATGGGTGTTCAAAAAGAACAATAGAGATTTACTGCTGGGTTTATCAAACAAGTTACAGAAATGTATGCATAAAATATATATTTAGTGTTTAATTGAAAACTATAGAAAGTTCTATATAGTTTCTGTTGTTCAATTTATAGTAAAATAGCAGAAGCAGAAACTCTAAATTGATTTAGAAGAAAAGAGAAGAAAGGATCAATTTTAGGAAATGAAGTCAGAAGAGATTTTTGTCTAAACCTGTGTGGTAACTCAAAGGCTGAGGAACCTGCTGTGCCTATGGGAGTCCCGAACTGATCCCTGGTTCCACATGGTCTTACAAGCATAGCCATAGGAGAAACTGAGCACCATACCGTGAGTAGTGTGGGTATGAACCTTTAACCAAAACCCCACAAAAACTAAAGCAAAACACAAAACCCTAAAAAATCTGAAAACAAAAGAGATTTTTAAATAAAGTTAGGTTCAAAAGATATAATAAAACATCCAATGTGTTATTATATTAGCACTGCCCTATAGCACTGTCCTCCTGTTGTTCATCGATTTGCTCGAGCGGGTCCAGTAACATCTCCATTTTGAGACTTGCTGATACTGTGAAATTCTTATATTCATCAATCTCTTTTAGTGCTAAAATAGTCCAAGAAACAATAGTTATCATAAAGCCTTTTTTCTATATCTTACTTTGTGCTTCAAAGAAGGAGGAAATTATTACTTTCTTACTAAGATTTTGTCTGACCATCCAAGTATAAGTCTTTCCCCTCCTTTGAGAATATATAACTTTTATTTTATACTCTTCTTTGGGGGCTAATTACTTGACTCTGTGTTATAATTACCTATCCTTTTCATATCCAGCATTATATCCCCTTTTTATTATTCTTAAAACCTAGGAAAACTCCAAAAATGTTTGTGAACTTGTCTTGTACCTTGGTAGTGAAATCAAACAGCACAAAGTGAGATTTTCTAAATTATTTTTCTATATAAATCTCTATAAAATATCATTTTATTTATCTATTTATTTATTTTGGTTTTGGGGTCACACTCGGCAGTGCACAGGGATCACTCCTGGCTCTGCACTCAGGAATTACTCCTGGCTGAGATCAAGGGACCATAGCAGATGCTGGGAATCAAGCCCAGGTTGGTAGCGTGCAAGGCAAACGCCCTACCCCCTTTGCTATCACTGCAGCCCTTAAATAACATTTTAAAGGTAGAACCAGATTCATTTTTAATCTTACTTTTTGAAAAATCAGGAATTTTGTTGCCCAACCAAATGCATTTCTTTCTTTAGGAACAAGAGGTTGTGGTTTTTGAATTTGAAATTGTTTTTATTGATGCTCTCATCCCACTAGGGGGCATTCTAAGCTATAAAAGAAACACATGAGCTGTTCAGAGAGGAGACCAGAAAAAAAAAGTGGCTCAATCAAATTAAAGACAGCGGAAATGGGACAGGAAACCAGTGTATCAGGTTTTCAAATCTGCCATTACAATGTAAACTGCAGAACACTGGAGCCATACCTCTATAGGTCCATAATGAGGCTGAATCTCTGAGCAGAGGTGCAGGAGTAGGAATATTACTTGGTGTTGAGTATAAGTCAATGGAGAAAAAGCAAGAGCGGGTAGGAGAGGCGGATTATAAATAGAAAGAGCCGGAAAGAACAATATTTAGCTTTTCAGGCACTGTGTGAGTGGTGTGAGTGAAGATTGCAGAGCAGATTGTCAGAATCTTAGTTTATTCTGAAAATAAGGTTTACAAAGTCATTGGGAAAATTTTCCTGCCAGATGGCAGTTCTTATGCCCTGAGTTTCTACCAATCTCCTGATTTCAAGAAAATGTACTAACCTCTTTAACTCATAATGAAATATACAAGAGTTTCCCTACATAAGAATTTTTTAAACTGAATTTAAAATTAGATGCCCGAATAAGTTATTTAATAAATGGGGTTCCTCTGTTTCTTTTGAGGTTCCCGTTATGCTAATGGAAACCATCTTCTCCTCTCCCAGACTCCCCCAACCATCCAGTCAGATATCATCTTCTCTTCCTAAAGGTGAGTTTCAAGGAAAACATCATGGTAACTTCATATACTGTAAAGAGTTCTCTTACCCCCTGCTCAGTTTGCACCCACAGTTCATAACTAATCACTGGCAGGTCTCTGGATTCAGGGGGTGGAGTTTCCTGTCAGGTGAATGACAGCTCAGATAGGGCTTATTGTCAGTGTTTCAGGGAACCCGGCATGGTTCTAAGAACGTTTGCCTGGCCCTGCGTATTGAAACTTTTTAGAGCAGCGTGCAAGTCAACCCAGCACCTGGACAAGCGACTATGACACGCTGGCGAACTCTGCTGGGACTCCTGTGGATCCAGGTTTGCTGTGAGTTGGGGCGTCCCAGATGGAGCTGGAGGAGTGTTCACTGCCAAGAGTGAAGAAGAGGAGAGGGGGGACACGCAGGGAGCTCTATGGGACACGCAGGGTCCCATATCCTCATGGGCATTTCTGGGATATTTTCGAGGTTCAGAAGCTGCATCAAGGTCACCCCAGTGACTTCATATGCGTTTTTCTCTTTCTAAACAGCGGTGAGAGGGATGAAGGTGGAGCAGACTCCCCCCTCCCTGATTCTCCAGGAGGGAACCAGCTCTACTCTGAGATGTAACTTTTCTACAGCAGTGAATAATGTGCAGTGGTTCCGACAGAATCCCGGGGGAGGCCTCATCAGACTCCTTTACATCGCTTCAGAGGCGAAGGAGAGTGGAAGGTTAAGAGCCACAATGAATTTTCAGGAGCGGTTCAGTACCCTGAACATCGCGGCCTCCCAGCTGCAGGACTCAGCCACCTACTTCTGTGCAGTGGAGCACAGTGCTCCCAGGTGAGCTGCAGCCTGAGCCCAAACTGCAACTGAGCCGGCAGCCTCACCCTTCACGGGGCAGAATCCTCACAGTAGCTTCTGCACAGGAAGTTGGGGTAACTTGGGACTCTTCAGGGCCTTAACTAGGTGACAGTAAACTTTATTGATAAATTATTACACATTGAAAGTACATATAACCACGAGTTGTCCCCCCAAAGCAGCTCTCCTGCACGAACATGGCCCCACAGGCACACGGACCTAATTTGGAACCCAGCAGCTATGGGCAGAAATGTGAATGGACTATGCATTAAGCTACAGCACCGTGCCCCCTCTCCCGGAGGTAAAGGGTGTCTGTCTCTTCCACCTTCCCCCACCCCCACCCCTACGGCAAGGTGGCCACTGCCTCTGAGCTTATTGGACAGCCAGGTATGAGCTGGCGGTGATGGGGCAACTGTGGCTTCATGACATGGGGGGCGGAATTTGCACATTCTTCTTGCCCTGCCAAGACCACAAGTTGCCCCCCACGAGCGAGTGGCTCTCTGGCACGGCCATGGACCCAGAGGCACACGAACCAATCTCGGAACTATGCAACTTTTGGCAGAAATCCCTCCAGACTTAATTAGTAAAATATCAGAAATCTAAAATCTAAAATCTAACATCATAACCAGCATAACCAGCAATAGAAAACAAATTATAAGCAATAGAAAACAAATTATTTCATGACGCCTCTTCAGCAGGTCTGATTGTTAGGGGGAAATTCCAAATAATAATGGGTGCATCTTTTGTCGAAGTAATGAATGTAGTCAAAGTAGAGAGAGAGTTAAATGGAAATCATCTGCCTCACAGGCATCATGAGGGGTGGGGTGGGGGGTATAATAGGATTATTGGTGGTGGAAAATGTGCACTGGTGAAGAGATGGATGTTTGATCATTGCATGACCGAGCCTTAAACCTGAAAGGTTTGTAACTTTTCTCACGGTGATTCAATAAATAAATTTTTAAAAATAAATAAATAAAAGTATCTATAGGTGTGTGTGTGTGTTTCACAATAAAGTGTATTGAGGTGTTATTAGGATTCTCAATAAGTCTAATTACTGGAAGCAGAAATTTAAAATAAAGATACTAGCTTCAATGAGAAGATACACCATTTTCATGAGAAGTTATGAATATTTGAAGAGGAGGTCTCTGATGGAAGTTGCAGTGTTGGAATATTGCACGTATGAAACTATATCATTAACAATATTGCAAAACTCCATGCCTAACATCAAAGAAGAATGAAGAATATCCAAGATCAAAACAAAAAAGAAATGTTTCAATGAACCATTTATTAATACAAAAGGCAATTGAAAATTATTTTCCCTTGTAACTAAAACCAGTGTGGGGGTTGGAGCAATAGCACAGTGGATAGGGCATTTGCCTTGCATGAGGCCAACCCAGGTTCGATTCCCAGCATCCCATATGGTCCCCTGAGCACGCCAGGGTTAATTCCTGAGTGTAGAGCCAGGAGTAACCCTTGTGCATCTCCAGGTGTGACCCAAAAAGACAAAAAAAAAAAAAAACAAACACAGTGTGCATCAACAAGCATTCCGAATTACATAGAAGCAAAGTGTCACATTTAGTTCTTTAAACACAAGTCCCAGCAAATGTTATGAAAACATTAGAATGTTAGTGCATATACATGCATTTAAAATTCAATGCAGATTCATATGAACCGGTTAAATAGCTGAAACATAGAAACATTGTCTTACTAGAGACATCATCTCTCACTAGGTTAACCAAAATTTATAAGTCTTATTTATCAGTTTTATGCTAATTCAGCAGCATGTAGAATTATCTAAAGAAATTTTATCAGTTAAAACATAAATTTGAATTTAAAAATGAAAAAATACAGAATTGGGAAGGAGAGATATACAGGAGATAAGGCTCTTGCCCTGCATTGACTAGCTGTGATTTGAATCCTGATACACATATTGTTCCTTGAGCACTGTTAGGAGTGCTCCTGGGTCACAGAACCACCAATAAGCCCTGAGCACTGCCAGGTATGACCCACAAACCAAAAAACATAAAGTAAAACAACAACACAGAAACAAACCTTCAAAATTGATTTGGATCTTGTGCTTATGTATAGTACCTGACATTTTTATTATATTAAATAAAGTTATAAAAGTATAAATTTCAGTAAGCTATTTTATTTGAGAAACAAAAGTTAAATAGCATCCAGGAATATCAGTAACAAACATTAGCTATTATTTCACATGAATTTATGATGTTTCAAATTTTATTATATAATTAAAGTGTTTATTGTTGAGCCTCACGCATGAAAGAACCGGCCAAAGAACCCAGGTGCGCGGGACCCGGGGTTGAGATCTTCAAGCTTGCTCACATTGGGACTGGGCCTCCTCCATCCAGATCCCCCATCTTCCAGTAGCTATGCGTTACACCCACCAACTGCCCCTGGCGTGAGCTCTTGTCTAGTTCTCACTCTTGGAGAACCCGACAGGCTACTGAGTGTATCCTGCCCGCACAGTAGAGCCTGACAAGCTCCCCGTGGCATATTCAATATGACAAAACCCAGTAACAATGATGGGTCTCATTCACCTGACCCAGAAGGAGCCTCCAACGTGGCACCTGCTAAAATCTCAGGGCTAGGACGAATGGAGACGTTACTGGTACCTACTCGAGGAAATCGATGAACAACAGGATGACAGTGATACAGTGATAGTGATTGTTGAATACGTATCACCAAGTGTTATGTTTATGAAGATATGAAGAAAATATTTTTTAAAGAGCTTTATGTTTTATTATTGAATGACACGGGGCTGGAGCGATAGCACAGCAGTAGGGCGTTTGCCTTGCATGCAGCCAACATGGCCGACCCGAGTTTGATTCCTCTGCCCCTCTCGGAGAGCCCGGCAAGCTACCGAGAGTATCTCGCCCACAGAGCAGAGCCTGGCAAGCTCCCTGTGACGTATTCGATATGCCAAACACAGTAACAACAAAGTCTCCAATGGAGACGTTACTGGGCCACTCGAGCAAATCGACAAACAACGGGAGGGCCTTTACCTTTACCTTTACCTTATTGAATGACACATTTTTTCCTGGGTTTTGAATCATGGACACAAATTTTCGATTTCATTGATTCTCACAAATGTTTATAGTCATCCCTGTCTGGGAATTTTGAATGTGTAAACTTACTTAGAAGGAGAGAGTTAAAATCTAGGACAATCTAGTTGTTTAAGAAAAGATTTATTTTTTTGCTTTGTATTTGAGTGCAGTCATTCATTAACTCCAGTTTCTACAATTTTGTCATTTTATTGTTTTAGTAAACTTTAATTGAAATTACACCCACCAATTGCCCCTGGTGCCATGCTATCCCATCAACGGCCAAGATCCAGGAACTACAAAACCCAGCTCCAGGAAGAGAACAGTGCAGAGTCTCCTGCCCCTGTGCCTGGCTGTCCTCACCGAAGCCCCTTGGAGGTGGCGGGTTGAGTTTCCCTCCCCGCCCCAAGTAGAGCCCCAGTAGCTGAAGACCTCTGGAACCAGCCACAGCTATGTTTAAGAGCACTCTCCACACGTTCGGACAAGCCTCACGCAAGAAGGAAATGGCAGAGGAACCAAAGCAAGTGGATCCACGCCTGCTCAGATCGGGACTGGGCCCCCTCCACCCAGATCCCCATCTTCCAGTAGGTAGGCATTACACCCACCAACTGCCCCCCGTGCCGTGCTATCCCATCAATGGCCAAGACACAGACACTATAAAACCCAGCTTCCAGAAGCGCATGGCTGCATTTGAGGCCACACAACCTCTCATTATCTAGTTCTTACTCTTGGAGAGCCTGGCAGGCTACCGAGAGTTTCCTGCCTGCACAGCAGAGTCTGACAAACTCCCATGGCATACTCGATATGCCAAAACTCAGTAACAATGATGAGTCTCATTCACCTGACCCTGAAAGAGCCTCAATGTGGCACTTTCTAAAATCTCAGGGCTAGGATGAAGGAGATGTTACTTGTGCTTGCTCAAGGAAATTGATGAAAAACAGGATGAAAATGATGCAGTGAATTGAAATAACATTGTATTGCAGTATTATATAAATTTATGTAAACATCATTATAAGCCAGCACATCACTTGATCACTTGACATCCCATTACTCATCGATTTGCTTGAGTGGGCGCCAGTAACATCTCCATTTGTTCCTGTCACATGCGAGTGTAGACCAATGGTGTCTGCTCATTATAGGAACAAGAACAGCCTCAAACCGATCATTCAGGGTCTTGATGAAGAAATCTGACCATCTCATAGGTTGGCGATGTGATCTTTTGACGTCCCATGAAATCCAGTCAGTAATCGCTCTAGTTCAGCGGTCATCTCCAAATCTCATTACATGTCCAGCCCCTCTGATTTTTGATGCCTTGGCAAACGAGAAAGCGTCCCTGATTCTTGATTATAGACAGAGGTCAAAACTATGGATTCTTTCTGTCATTGGCGTGAAGTGTGATATTCCAAGCATAGCTATTTTGATTCCTCTTTGGGAGACCTGAATAGCTTTCTCATCCTGTTTTCGTAGGGCCCAGGTCTCTGAGGGGTATGTTAATGCAGGAAGAACAGTGGAATCAAAGAGATGTGCCCAGAGCTGGAGTTTCTTTGTCCTCTTAGCTATTTCTTCGACACTATTGAAGGCATTCCAAGCCGCTCTCTTCTTCCTGCGCAACTCAGGTGCCAGGTCATTCGTCATGTTGACTTCTTGACCTAGGTACACACAACTGTTGCATTCGAAGATATTTGTCCTGTTGAGAGTGAATGGAACGTCAGGAAGGAGTCCATTTCTCATAAACATTGTCTTCGTGAGATTCAGCTGTAGTGCAACCTTTCCACACTCACAGTTGAAGTCGGCCAGCATTTGTGTCGCTTGGCTGATGTTTGGTGTTATAGAACGATGTCATCAGTGAAGCAGAGGTGGTGTAGTTGCCAACCGTCTATCTTCACTCCCATTCCTTCCCATTCCAGTAGTCACATGATGTTCT